CCACCGATCCCAGGCTTCGACTGCATCAATTTATCCGGCAACGGAGTCCTCCTGCAAAAGAGCAAATCCCGGAATAGGAAACGTACGTTCGGACGAAAGCGGCAGAGCTTTGCTCGTCCGCGTCGAGCAATCGTCGCCACGTCGTCGAGCGATCGATCGACGAGGCAGCTCGGGGAAACGAGAGAGAGGGAGGACCACTCGGCAGCCGCGTGCAGCTCTGATCCGTTTGCGACGATAACGTAGGTCGCCGTCGCCGATCCGCGCGGCCTCGCTGGACGCCCGCTGCCCCAGCCCCCTGCCCGGCGGCCAGAGCGCGGCGGCCCTGACGCACCTGGCCTCGTCGCAGAGCGCGCTGATCGGCGGGCCGTCGTCGTCGGCGTCGCCGGGGCGCTGCCTGTCGCCGCTGCTCATCCCGCCGCCCCGCGCCTCCTTCTCCGCCGCCTGCAGGTGAGTCCGTCGCGCGCTCAGTCCTCTCCGCGGCCGAACGATAGTCTGAAGCTCGCGCCGCTCGGCAGTGACGGCTCAGCACCGCCGGCCTCGCCGCTCGGCGCGCTGCAGCCCGACCTCTACCAGCGCAGGGACCAGCCGCTGTTCCTGAGCAGCGGCCGACGGTGAGTGTGTGCGCTCGGCGCGGGCAATAGCACGACGTTATACCACGCCACGACTGGCCGGCGCAGGTCGGGCAAGCACCTGGGCAAGCTGCACCTGCGGCTCAGCTACGACTTCGACAAGAGCGACCTGAACGTGCACCTGATCGAGGCGCAGGAGCTGGCGAGCAGCGAGCAGGGCGGCTTCCGGGACCCCTACGTCAAGCTCACGCTCAGCCCCGAGGTGGACGCGCGCAAGCGCCAGACCGGCATGCAGCGCTACGAGCCCAACCCCAGCTTCGACCAGCACTTCAAGTTCCCCGTGGGCCACGAGCAGCTGCAGGACAAGACGCTGCTGGTGCAGGTGCTGGACCACGACCGGTTCTCGCGCAACGACGTGGTGGGCTCGGTGCGCATCGCCCTCGAGGAGCTGCAGCTGTCCTCCTCGGCCAGCCCGGTCGAGGTCTGGGGCGAGATCAGCCGCGAGCGCAAGCCCCCCGAGGAGACGCAGGAGGTCTGCATCTCGCTGTCCTACCTGCCGTCCGCGGAGCGCCTCACGCTCATCGTCATGAAGGCGCGCAACCTGTTCCCGCAGCGCGGCAAGCACACCCTCGACTCCTTCGTCAAGGTCGGCTTACTCTGCGGCGAGAAGCGCGTGAAGAAGCGCAAGACCGCAGTCTGCAAGGCCACCAGGTCGCCCGTGTGGAACGAGTCCATGTCCTTCAACGTGCCCGCCAGCCTCGTCGCCAGCTCCGCCGTCGAGGTAGGCTCGCCTCCTCCCCCCCCCCTCCCCCTTACGCCCGTGCGCGTCATCGTCGCCGCTTCGCCTGCTTTTTCTCTTCCGCAGATCTGCGTGGTGGACTCGAGCGCCGACGTGACGGGCAGCAGCGCGATCGTCGGCTCGTGCATCGTCGGCCCGAGCGTCGGCCCGACGCCCGACCACGGACTGCCCAACCCCAGCCGCGAGCACTGGCTGCACATCACCAGCACGCCCAGGAAGGCCGTGGCCATGTGGCACACTCTGCACTAGAGCCCCGGTCGCCCTCTCCGTCGCCGCGATCCGCGCGTTCATTTTTCTTTTCTCTCTCTCTCTCTCTCTCTCTCTCTCTCTTTCGTTTGCCGCTCTCGGACATCCGGCGACCTCGGAAGCTCCACGACGGTACCGATCGGCACAAGCGTTAATCACTTATCACAATATCGTGTGTATGTGGGTGCGCGCGTGTCTGCGTGTGTATGTGTGTATGCGTGTGCAAAAAATGTGTCGTATTTTCATCGTCGGGCATACGACGGTCAAAGACGTTTTTATGAGCCGCACTTCTCAATGTGTCTCCGCATCTTTGATCACGTCGATCTTTTGTAACGAACCGAGATCCGAATACGCGACTCCAGCGGTCGCTTTTCCGTTGCATCGCCCGATCGCATTGCTTTCGCAGCGCCTACATCGAGTACTCGTTACGTTGCGCCGTCGGGCACTGCTCTTAACGCGAAAGCAGAACTTCGCGCTCGCGCTAAAAGCATATATACTTTGAATTTATGGTACTACGCGAAGCAGCACGCACATCGTACTTTACTGTATCTCTCCGCAGTTGCTTTCTATCTCCCTGTTTTACTCGCTCGATGTTTCGCATCGTCGTCGACAAACTGTTCGAGGTCTGTTTCTCAAACCCTCCGCGAACTTTCCCCCTTCCCGCCGTCACTGGCCTCGGTGTGAACTTCGTCCGTCGTTGAACGACGCGAGGCTGGAATAAAAGAGGAATGCGAAAGAAAATCAGAATGCACGCGGGGCGTCAAAGATCGAAGGTGAATTACATATTTTTCGCGGCCTATCGCGCGAACGCGCAGCATTCGCATTTTTTCGCTCTATTATCCGTTTTCTCATCTCGATGTGGTAAGTTGCATTCCGACAAATAACGACGTATCCTTCTTTATCCTTTTTCTTTTTAGTAATAAGCGACAAAAGAACAAGAGAAAAGGCGGTCCCACCGCGTGCGTCGAATCACTTTCAATAAACGAAATAGATAATATACAAACTAAGGGGGCAACAGATGAACAACAATAATAGTGATAATCACGAAGAAAAAACTGAATAGGGCACTATATAGATAATCGAGGGTATAAAAGATACGACGGAAAGATTTTGAAAAATAAATAAACGTTCCGCGATCGTGGGCGCGAGAACGTCGTCCAACAATGTACGCTTAATATTAAATTATACATATATATATTCAAAGAAAAAAACCTTTGAATTCACAGTATTTCTATATTGTTCTCTATTTTAATGATAAAAAATTAGTAAATAAGCGAATGCATTTATTCGTACATTATTTATGAAGCTAAAGATGATATATTTCTCTATATTAATTAAGCCATAAGATAATATATGTACATATACTTTTGTCAAAAATAATTGGAATGATATATTAAGAGGAAGACTGCGCTAACAAAAAGCAGTGCGTAGGCGTGAGGCATTTCACGATTAAAATTGCGTAGCTCCCGATTATTCATATATTATATTATACAACAAAGTACAATTACCGCACGCAAACATTCTACTGGCTGAACTTGACATTCATTTTCTCGGTAGACCACTCACGGAAACAATTGGAGTCGGCTGTCGTACAAAATTAACGAAAATTCAACTCGACTAATTGAACAAAAATTATAATCCACCGAAAAATTGTAATATTGGAAGGGCGATTATTGTGGCTATCGAGAGAATGAATTCGCAGTTCGTTGTGTAAGCAACAGAAAATAAAGGATCAAAACAAACAAACGTATGCCTTAAAAAAGCACGTTCGCCAATAATAATTTGCCGCGAGCTACATATATGACTCGGGGAGTTGTAATTACTCCAAGTGTCCAGCGCGAATTTTCCCGATTTTACCAAAGAAATGTATACTTTTCATCGTATAATGCCGTACAAAACAATCGAGACATCAGCCTTTTTAAAAATAAAGGGATTTTTAATTTAAATGATAAAAAGAATATCTCGACGATAAAAATGATGAAAAAGCCAAAAGCAGATGTAACAAGTGGTGCAATATTATTATTATCACGAGTGTTGTAAAATTTGATGAAAACATATTAAATATATTTAAAAAATAACAAAAATAATAAAATCTATATTATATATATTATACATGGAGGGGGTGTGTTTTTTGACAAGTCAAGTGAAATGTACGTGGTAGATGTTTCAGGAAAAATGTTCCAATAGACTTTAAAAGAAAAATGTTTAATAAAAATAAATAATTATCTACATAATCAATTGGCGTTTAATAGCTATAGAAACAAAATAAACAAAGCAAAAAAAACGTACATTAGCGTGATTTACATATGTATGTGATGTGCATTCAATATTTTTCTTGTCATGTACGATGTACTTTTCGGTGGTTGGTCCGATAATAAAGAGAACCGTACAATTTCCACTAACACCTTTAATTTTCTATTTTATTCAATCTTATTCCTTATATAGGGATTCCAATGACAACTCCTTTATTATCAATTGTAGTCTTTTATTTAGTCTTATATTTGCTGAAGATCGTTCGCAACAAAATTCATTCGCAGATCTTTTCGAATTGTCTTTCCTATTTTTCTAAATTTCGTTTAAAAGTGTAAAAATTTGCCATAGGTTTCAAGCCTCCAAGGTAGAAGCAGATTGATCAATAGCTCGGATTCTGCAACTTATGCTTATGTACAAATAATTACAATTGTCATTTATATAGTTGTAAAATATGAATTATACACATCGATATTTCTTCTCATGACACGATCTAAATTAAAATGTTTCCTGTTTTTCTGAATATACATATAAGAGTTTATATTTACATACAAGCTAGAGCGACCTAAGGTGTGAGAGCATACAAAAATATTTCGCTGCAACTAGATACAAGCAAATTAGCATAATATTCTTCTATTGCTGAACTACTGTATACAGTGCTTTTTATTTACGCATAAAGCTACATAAATTTGCCGTGGAAAATATGTTTTACAATGTATTCAGTCAAATATGTCTTTTTCAAAAAGTCAAGTTTGAAACGATGAAATAGATACAGATGGAAAGAGGGAAACTAAGTGTCTTGCATTCTCAATAAGAGCCACACAGAATTGCGAATTATTTACAATATAATAAAAGAGGTCAGTGAGCTGAAATGTTTTTCCTACATATTTACAATCGTTAAATTAAATTTTCTCATCAATGCCAGACCAGCTAGCACAGTGCGAAAAACAAAACAGAGCTCATGTGCATTTAACATTGACAGTGCTTAGAGAGTTGCGAGAATCCTGGTAAAACCAACACAAGCTGCGAGTACGGTTTGCCCGACACCCCATAACAAGGCATAAAGGGATGTCATTTGGTATTCAGCCGAACCATAGACAAAAGCAATCGCGGCTGAACTAACTACTCCAGAAGTCAGAGGCATCAAGACCCCCATCACCAGGATCAATACGGGAAAAAATCTGTAACAAAATGTTATAAGGTAATAAAAATTTATACGGAAAATCACATATTTTCTTAATTGACGATGTATTACTCACTTCCCGTATTTGTGTTTGCGGAGGGTGGCGAAGCAAATAGCGGCAGCAATAGTATGGACGAAAATTGATGAGAATAGTGCCCATAGAAATATTTGGTACCACATTTCTGCAAGTAAACCAAAGATTTTGTTCGAATTATAAATTTCAAAAAATTCGTTATTATAGTCTTTGAAAATATGAGATGAATATATTAACATGAATAAAGTAAGAATTGCGTAGTAAACCTGAAATAATGTACGTACCAGGAAACGATCGAAGACTCATGATCGATGAATGTGGAATGGAGATAAATGGCAGTAATAACAGTATTGAGTTTTGAACTCAAAAACAAGTAAAATCAAGATGCCAAGGTGCACATTCAACTAATTAATGCTGGATTCTTGATATTCGCAACAAGACTAGATAGATAAATGGAGGAACGAAACAAAATGGGGTTTGGTATAGAAATTAATCTATGTAAGTTAGAGTTGGAAATTCAAGAAAAACAAAGCAACTATCAACAATTGGTTAATTTTTCCAACTCTAATCTATAATAGAGATAGAGTATAGGAATTAGGGCAGTAGGATAAGGGTACACACCAGCAAATGAAGTCAGCGGTGTGTTGAAGATGCCTGGCTTGTCTGGAGCTGAGGCAACCACTGATGTAACTTCTTGATTTGCATTTGACATTATGTGCTCTCTGCCTGGGCTATTATCTAGCCCTAGCTAGAGCTGCTTTCTCAATCAATTCATTGAGTCCTCAAAACTATCAACTTTGACTTTCATGTTTTGAATTCTGCAAGTATAATACATCATTTGAGTGATTAAAGAAATATTACAACTAATCGATTGTTAAACAATCTTTAATGCTAAATAACACACACACTTGGAGGTTATGTTTATCAACAAATAACAATTACAAAATACACTGTTGAACACCATGTTTCTCGGAAAAAAAGTCTACGTGTTCTCTCGATCAACAATAAGCCACTAGATTCATGTCTCTGAACATTTTCTTACTGCGTAATAATTGTCTTTTAGGAGACGTCACCTTCTTCGTTAAAGAGGACAATTAAGCGCAAACTCTTGATGACAGAAATGAAAAAATTTTACTGCTGCTACTAAGTACTGGCATTCCACAGTAAAGACTGCAATATATGTATTCATTTGTAGCGCGTGCGAAAGAGATAGAAATAGTTTTGCAGGTTGTGCTTATGACTGTAGGTTCGTTCGCTTAATGAATGACAGAATGACCGAAGATATTTACAAGCTTATAAATATTTTCTTTTCAGGCGACAAACTATGAAAATAAACCAAATAATTACAAAATTTTATGATTGAAATTGGTAAGGTTTCTTTACTTTCGGATAAATTATGTATTTGTTCGATAATCGAGATGTTGACAACAGAATCTGACATAGTGTCGAACAGACCTCCTCCCACGAAGGAGAGAACGAAATATAAGAGAGAAGGAGATAGAAAGAGAGAAAAAGAAAGAAAAAGAACGAAAAAGGCGGCTGGCATTGTGTAAATAAAAAATCTCGACTTGGTGTGTGCGCCGCGAACGGAGAGAGACTAAGCAAGAGAGAAAGGGAGAAAGAGCGAGAGAGAGCGAGAAGAGGGCGAAAAAAGAAGTGGCGAAAGAAAGGAAGCGTTCCCGGAGAGACAGAGGTGAGCTAATGGTGAAGGAAATGCTTTCGATAAAGGTGGGTTTCATTACTTGGACCGCGCGGCCGGTTATTTATTTTTCTGTTTTTTTTTTGTCAAGTATTTGTAAATAGTGCGGGGGTGTAGTATTCTTTGCTGGATTCTTATATGCATAATTCTCCATTAAATTTGTTTTTCTATTTGCAGAGTGTTACGATTTACGGAGCAGGAGTGCAAGTATGAGAAATGTGCTCTAATAAAAAGAAGCTCAGCAGAGCTTTACACCTGTGCCATACTTTATTAATGGATGATTAGAATAAGACAGTGTGAAAATAAAATCGAAAAAAGTCAACATGGTGCAAAGTAAGGTGTTGTGGTTTGTCTTATTGGCAATAATATCAAGTTATGCAGAGGAGAAGCCAGTCAAGAGTCCACCAAAATGTCAGTTTGGCAAGTCCTCAAGGAAACAGATTCCAGTGACTCCATTAAAAGAAAAATGTTTAAGGGACATGGTGATGCAGTTAGCAGACAGCTTACAGAATCTAACAGACGAGGAGCTTGGTGTGACAAAATTCCAGACAATGTTAGATAAATTAGAATTTGTTGATACAATTACTAAGCTAAATACAAGGCTGAATGATTTGACGAAGAATTTAAATGATAAGCTTAAAAAGTACACAGATTTGTTGAAGGAAAGTAACAGTGTGATACAGCCAATTCTGTTAAAACAGGAACATGATATTTATGCTTCTAATCAAAGATCTGACAGTAGATCTTCGGATATTTGCGACAGAATCACTGATGCTCTTGCCATGAATATGCATAATCAAGATTGGAAAAATTTACACATACTACCAGTAAGTAAGATTATTAACAATTTTAGAATAAAATCCAATTTGATAACTATAAATACTTTTTAATATTTTTTAGGTGAGTCAGCCAGGCACAATGTGTGGTCCACCCAGTTTAGCTCATTATATTGGACCATTGCTCCTTGCTCAATGCACTCGTACAAAGAATGTCATTTTACTTTTGGAGCACAATTCCCTTTTTATGTCAGACGATGATGTGACTCTTGCGCAAATAACAGCCAAAACCATTGTTCATATGCTCACTGAGACTGATCGTGTAACTGTTATTGGTATGGTAGGAGCAGGTTCAACTTTGTGTCCAGATCAGGGTTTGCCTCGAGCTACAGATATTCACAAAATTAGGTTGGATAGACACATAGATTCATTGATAAGATCACAGGTTAACCAAAGTTTCAGTATAGATGTTAAGAAGATTGTAAAGGATTTGAGTGGAGAGTTGGTGATCATTCATTTAACGAATAATTTGAAAGATCACTCGAATGTTAAAGCGATAGCCGAGTCAATAAATAGCGAAAAATTGAACGTTCATCTGAGGACGATTTTGATACTTTCAAGTCATCAACATGTGAATGTCAAAGAGTATCCTGCCAATAGCATTGTTATCACGTTACCTACGCAGCACATGCTTGGTTACGAAATCGCTAGATTGTTTGCCGGTACGTAATATTTTTTTCTATTTAACAAAAAATTTGAATTACGTATATCGTTTTATTTTTCCAGGATTAAAATGCAATAAAGAGGACATTAAGCCATACTACTTATCTGACCCTTACTTCGAGCCATACAGTAAAGCAATGATGGTTTCTGTAGGCCAAATAACTAATGCAGCGCTGCTCTCGTTCGACGTGAAATTGCGTGACTTTGTCGAAGATATTACGTACTTTGATGCTGGACCCCATCAAGTGCGAGCTTTATTGGTGGATAAACGTGGTATGTTGTGGATGCACAAGAATTTCCCGAGGATGGAGATGATCGTCGAACAACCGCTCAAAGTTTATCTGCATGATTTAGAAAATTTGGATGAAAAGACTATGACAAAGACTGGGTAAATAAATACAAATTTGCAATGTTAATTTGACTTTTTCGAAAATACAATTTTGGAAATTTTACATAAATATCAGATTCTATTTAGTACACCGAGATGAAAATTTAATCAAAATTTAAATGTATAATCGGCTCTTTCTGGTTACGAACTTCTTTCATAATTCTACTATTTTTGTTGAAGAGCACACGTCAACAGAACAAACAATTTTTACTTGCAGCATGGCAGACCAACCAGAAGGTGTAGTAGAAACACCGACACTCCTCGGCTCAAAAAAGCGAATTTACTGGCGTCACTTGAATTATTCCGACTTGATCGCTTGTCTTGTAGTTTCACGTCTTGATGAAGATGACATTCGCGTTCCTGGTATCCGCACAGTACCAGCACTTCCGTCAAATCTCTTTCACCATCGTCTGGATTTGGCACTCAACTCTAACATGCGTCGAGATAGTTTATGTGTGTACAACAATCATAGAGTTGCAAGTCTCGAAGCTGGCGTTGTTTATCTTTCGCCATGGTGCTTTAAATCACCTGTTGAGCAAATGAAACAATTGTCTAACGCTCCAGCTGTGACGGTGCAGAGTTACATGGCTTATATTAAAGATGTAACAAAGTTACTTACAAATCCTGGAATGCAGGAGAGTGTTAAGGCCGACGTTGCGATGTTAGCCCAGATTCTTGCTGTTTTTAAGGAGAGACACGTAACAAGTCCACTCGATAGATTTATTGTACAAAGGTGAGTTTACTTTTATTATTAGAATATTTGAAAAATATAATTAAATAAACAATAATGAACTGTTAATCTGTCACAGGTACGTGACATCAGTAAACAATGGAGTATTGCTTGTCTACCCTGGCCTCGTGTTAGATTCCGATCTTGATCCAAAGCGTCGTGCTTGGTACATGAAAGCCATTGAGCAGCCAGGTCGTATCGTAATCACTCCACCTTACCTCGATGCAGGTGGCTCTGGATTCGTTGTGACGCTGAGTCAAGTAGTGCACGAAGGACGCTCGGTTGGACTACATTATAATAGTGATCCTGCCGTTGCTGTGATGGCTATCGATGTGACGTTAGGTTACTTATCGCGGATGCTGGATAATTTATTTCCGCTATGCTCTGAGACTAATATTAAGTGCTTCTTGATGGACGACAAGGGTATGTTAAATTGATTGACGCAATAATATCAAAACATACAATTAAAATTTTACGTATCTACAGGATATTTGGTGTACCATCCGTCGCTCTTGTTACCCTCAAGCAAAGTAGAACAGCAACATTTGACTAACAAAGAGTTACTTGTGGCGAATGACATCCTAAATCACGACTTCTTCGTGCAAAAGAAAATGTGCGCTAGTCACATGGACGGCACGACTCAACGATATTACCAGTTCAATATCTCTATAGACGAGGTCCTTACCAACATTGTTCATGGTGAGCATTGTGTAATGTATCAACTAGCTGTGGTACCTGGTACCAATGTGTTCCTAGGCGTGGTCAACATTACGTGCAACACACTCAATGCATTCTGCCCGTGTAGTACAGTTAGTATAATTATTATTTCTCTACTTTTTTGCTTTACTTTGCAAACGATACTAACATTATATTTTTAGATGGATCGTTCATGCTTGAACTGCAAGCGTATGGAGCAAACCGACTGCGAATGTCCATGCGAATGTTCACTATACTTAAGCGAATGTCAACGCCAAGAAACTCCAACAAATGCAATTGAGGCTTGCCCAGCACCTCAAGAACAAGGTTTGAGTTTAGCCATACCATGGATTCAGTCGTCATTGAGTTCTCTAGGACCTTGTCAGCCATTTAGCTGTAAAGCTTATGCAACAAAGAAGAGTTGCTTGGGTATAGTTGGTTGCCAGTGGTGCGAGATCGATAGCGATGGCGAAACAACGTTACAGGAACCGTATTGTGCCGATTTGGCTGGGTGCTTCAGAGGAGTTTTTGGAGCATCAATACCATACGGTGATGGCATTTATAGTAAGTATCACTGTCCTGTTTACGTTAATTAATGAAAAGCTATTGTAATGGCTGTTCTTTGTGCTTTAGATTCACAGTCCACGGAAGAAATGATAACAGGTGAATGGCCATCGGTTGGACCAGTTGCCGGTGGCATTCTGGCGTTTGTTCTCGTTCTTGGAATAGCACTCTTTTGCTATAGGTTGCGTACCGTGCATACCGGTTTGGAGCACCAGTGTTTACACAATCAGAACTCGCCAGACACGTTACGTATGACACATTTGGATTGCGACTTTGAGCCTGCAGATCTGGAAAGAGAACCAAAAGCTAGCATGGACTCGGCTTTGTTAAGGGATGTTGTGGCGCCTATTTCGCCGTATCGAGTATCCACTAATTACAGGTATTATATTTAAGAAAAAATTTTCAATTCTATTAATAATATAAAATATCAATCAATAAATGAATTCAGACGACCTCCTGGTGGGGACAGCGATCATGGCTACAGTACAATGACACCACACGATGATTCGGAGCAACAAACATTCTCGGAACCATTGCTGATTCTCGCTGGTAATCCAAAAGATCTTGTAGACGGAGTGGTCCTATCGGCGAGTAGTGCAACTCTTGATTCACCAGCTACATCGACTTCAACTACAGGGACGATCATCGCTCCACCCTCACCAACAACTAACATTGGTTCGAGTAATCGTGTGATCGCAGCCGTTACCGTCCACCGCAACATGGAAACGAATTACTGTTAGTGATCATCCGCATGACGAATCCTATTTTAGGTTTAGCAACTTCATTGTAAATTTGAGTTTATTTTTTAATTTCTATTTTATTCATTGTGTATACAACATTTTTTTGTATGCATCTTTTTTCTCTTCTCTTTGATGAAGTGAAAGTTTGTCTTCCAAAATTTTTATGTCGTTTGACAAACGCGTCCAAATAGCTGTGAAACGATGCAGCTAATTAAGAAAAGAAAAGAAATACGATTTATTGTACAATAATTGATACACAAACCCGTAACCATGAAGACTGCCTGAAATTTTATTTCTATAAGTGACGAAAGAAGGATGAGACTTTTTCCGCGCATTTTTAATATTCATCTTTTCAGTACTTACGTACGTATCATACGTTTTTATATACGTTTACATTCACACAACAATGCAGTAGAATGATATTTCATTGTACACATTAAAAAGCCAATAGTCAATGTATTTCGAAAAATTGTACATATTTTCTCACACACAGCAATCATGTACTTTGAACATTCGGTGCATTTATTAATCATTAATTAAGATTATTGTAGAGATTCGTGTAGAGATATCGTGAGTTTACAGATACATTTACAACTTGTATGCAATTTTGATACATGATAAAACGCGTTATTTAGCGTGATGGAAACTCTAAAACAGGCATTATGTCGAAAGAATTTATATATGTGAAACGAATGTGAATTTGAAAGTAATAATAATAATACGTGCCGATCCCTCTCTTGCAGGTCCTTTGCACTGCCTGTATTGTCGAGATTTTTTGTAAACCACTCTTTACAATACCCAAGTACAAAAATAAAGACAATTCAATCTTAAAATGTGATACAATTTAAAATATTTAAAACAAATAAAAATGTTGTTCATTTCTTCAGTTTGATGAGTTTGAAATCAAAAATGAAAGTTGCTCTGTCGAATGAGATAACATGAAAAAAAGTACCCATTGAGTATTCATATTCACAGTGCCAAAATACACTTTGAAAATGTATTCGTTAAAATGTATTTTTCTACATGTATGGCATGACACAACGTACAAGTGTAGATTGCAAATTTATATATTAAACGATAAAATTTTTCGATATTTAGGAGCAAAGTGTTATCGAATATAATGTAAGAGTTTTATATGTTTATTATATACACGACAAAAAAAGTATCTTTAGAGCATAATAGTAATTAAAAAATAAGACGAATTTTTTATATAGCCTGACACCAATCCATCTCGAATATAATGCATAATTAACGAGTGATAAGCGCACTTTGATGTACTTAGACACACATTTTTCTATCACCGGCCTGACATATGATAATAATATTCCAACCGAATTTATACGATAGTAAACCTCAGTAGTCTTGCCAAGGCAGTTAATGCAGTATGTCACTGTAGATGAAGTAGTGGAATACCGTTTGTACGTAAATTTTTAGTAGTACAATCAATTCTAATTTTTAGTTATTACGAAGTATTGATTTAATACATAAATGTTTGTATTTTTTGTTCGTAATGATCTTCTAATCACGAAATGAAGTGTGCTTAAATTACATTTTTCTTTTGGTGCATTATAATTTCGTCAGATTTTATATTCAAAGTTTACTGTAGTTAAGGAATATTCATTGTTGTAAATATATTATAATAAAAGTGGAAAGTTAATTGTATTTCAGGTGTCATTTATTTTCCTATAATTATTCAATTATAAAAATCCATTTCATTTAGACTATAATTTTGAAACTTTAGCGCGCTTTAATCATACGACTTCAAACGCCATGCATGGCCCTTCGCTGATTCGCTCGCACTTCGCAGTCGCAGCAGCGCACGCGCCCTGTCTATGCCTGATGTGCTTCTCTCTCGTATATCGCATCATCACTCATCAGTCTGCATCAGGCTATCAAATCAGTCCGCGAGTGGCGACAACCAGGAGCACAGTGAAGTGAAGTCGTCGCGACCGATTACGAGGACAGGGGAGAAAGAGGAGTATACGTACGATGATGGCAAGAAGAGGTTAGCATCCTATAATCTGCTACGAATATTGCACATTGGCCCAAAAATAGAAGAAAAATAAACTCTTCACGTAATAACGGAGAGAGAGGATGATGAGAGAAGGAGCGGCTGTTAATACATTAGTGGTGTGAAGGGAGGCCTATAGGCGCCCAAGCAATGGCAAGCAGCCAAGGCCCTTCAGCCGCTGCCGCCGCTGCTGCTAATGGGCCTCCATCAGTTGTTGTAAAGGCCGCTGAGCAGCAAGCCAACAACTTCGAGCCCCTCGACAAGAGTTCCAACACCCTTAAGGTATCGTCGCATTGTCTATTGATTATATAAACTCTCTGTGTATGCGTGTTTTATTCGATTATGTGCCGGATTCGTGTGCTAACTGACTACCTCTTATTAGATGGTAAACAAAGCCGAACTGCAATAGAAAGAGAGAACAAGCGAGCGAGCGCGCGCGAGTTTTATTTTCGTCTAAGCTCTTCTGTTGTGACAGACTCGGAAACCTTTTTGGTCTCTCTTTTTCAGCGCAATCCTAAGATGGAGCTGTGTAAAAATGACTTGCTCAAGCTACTTGGCTATCTCGAGGGTGAACTGCAAGCTCGTGATGTTGTGATTGCTGCACTCAAGGTTAAACTAACAATGTGTTTACAAGTCCTTTCATTTGTGATATTGATGATTAATGTTTCATTTGTCTTTCCACTGTATAGTCCGAAAAAGTGAAACATCTTCTAAACTCCAAATACAGATGTGGTACCTCAGATCCACAAGCTGCATTAGCAAGAGATCAAGCTCTTATAGGTGGTCCATCTTGTTCCCAAGGGAACCAGATTGATCAGCTGGGTGCTACGCTAGAGGCATTGGTTTCACGACAGAGGTATATGAAGAGTCACATGGTTAAAGTTTTGAACAACGCTGAATTCAGGCATCGAACTGTATGTTATTTTGCCAAATTTCAGTTAATGTCACAACTATGAAAGTGAAGTGTGAATTTGTTTCATGTATTGTAGGTTATTAAGGAACTAGAGGAAGAGAAACAGAAACATGAGCATGACACTGCTCAAGGAGATGACATAACATATGGTTTGGAAAAGGAAAGAACTCGTTTAAAGAAAGAATTGGAAATGGAGAAAAAGGACAAAAAAAGGATTGAAATGGAGGCTAAGCGGATACTCGTTAAATTGCTGGAGGAGCGGAAAAAGATCATGATGAAGTACATTGAAGAGCGCAAACGCTCTGAAGATCTCGCTCAGATTCTCAGTGAAGAGAAGGTTTGTTTTCTCTTGTGTGATGGTTTATTTTATCACAATACTGCTAAATGTACATACTAACATATTATAGGGAAACATAGCTTTTCGTGTTGATCATAGTATTTTTAATTTTCTAAACAGACTTTTTTTTTTTCGTTTTAGGTTCGTACAGATGCTATGGCAGAGGGGCTGGAGGAGGAGAGTAAAAAGTCGCTACATATGGAGGCGGAAATGGAAAAGCAGCAAGCACAATTCGACATTGAGAGGTCGCAGTTCCGACAAACGACTGCCAGCAAAGACAAAAAACTGATGGAACAGTCACAAGAGATCGAACGACTCAAAGTTGAGATCGAAACGTTGAAGGAACAGTTGGCGAGAGGGCAACTGAGGACTATTGGTGTAACTCCACCACCGCCACCGGCAAAACCTGCTAATCTAGCGGCTATGCCAACTTTGAGGCCTGCTGGTGCTCCTGCAGCAGGTATTACTACTTTTTCGAATTTCTCATAAATATTATTTCTCTTTTTTATTTGATCATTAATTACTACTGTGAAACTGGTTTAGATATGTATGGACTTCAAGGAATGTGTGGTATTTTTATTTTATGTAAATTTTTCAAAGTACTAATAAAAAATCATATTTAGAGAATATGTACTACCGATTTTCAATTAAAATAAATAATAAACTGAATTTCTTAAAATTGTATTGAATTTTAGACAAAATGGATATGTTCACTAAATGTATAAGCTTTACTGGAAAATAAAAGTTATTAACGATCTCTTCATTTCATTTCAGTAAAAGGAGCCGTTTTAGGAGCTGGCACGCCGATGGTCAGTAGCAAAGTTGTACAGCCTACTGCTACAGTATCTAGTGTGCCAGTTAGTGGTCCCAGTAAGTATAAATTGATGTCCTTCTCGTGAGACGATAACTTTCCGTTTCTATTTTTCAAAATTTGACTCATACTTGCTATTCACGCTTATATTCTACATTTAATTTAGGTTGAAAACAATAATTTTTTAATTTTATTTGGAAACAATATTATAGTTGTTTTCTTTTCAAATAATTTACAAATGTAATTTGTAACTTTCGCGACATCATTAATTTGTTCATTACAGCGACTGGCATAGCTCGATCCGTAACACCAGGACAGGTGCTCCGGGGTGCAAGTTTCGGTCACAGCGAAGTAGTAGCAGTAACATTACCGCAAGATGTAGCTGCCAATGCCACTACCACTACTGGTACCGTAGCCGCCCCCGGCGTACAGGTAACTTATCCACACTTTCCTAGCCACTCGACATTAATTTGATGAGAGCCTCAGTCGGCTGATATATATATATATATATATATATATATGCATATATACATATGCACGCACTTAAGCATGGGTGCACTTGTTCGCTTTAAGAGAATTTTTTCTGTGTTATTAGGATTTGTTTCTATTTAGTACCTTCGATATAATATTATATACATTTGTGTATGTTACGAGTTGAGTGTGACGTATTGTCGTGAGTTATTAGAAATTCCAATTAGGGTTTGGACTATGATATTATTGATAAGTAATGTAGTCAAGAAGCATTTTTTTAATATGCTTGTCATTTCCTTTTTGTGTGTGCGCGTACAATTCCAAGAAATCTAGTCTCAAAGATTAAATAAGGTTACGTATACAAAGATAATTTTGTTCTTTATTATAAAAATTACGAGGTTTTAAAGTACGTAATAACAATCGGTATGTATCGTATGAAAACAAAAAATTGCCATTCCAAGCGGGCGCGTGCAGAGAACGTAATCGAAAAGCAAACCAGCGATATTATTTTTCCCCTCTCCATTTCATTCGCGTGACTCAAACTCTCTTTACTCTCAACATTCACTTTCCGCGAGCACTTGTTAGCCCTCAACGAAGTTTTAGTGCATGCCTCGTGTTCCCTCCTTTTATTCTTTTTCCCGATACTACGACGTTGAAACTTTATTTCGCCGTCTCACGGTTTTTCGTTTGCAGCTTTGTACGTTCTTTTGTTTTTTTACTTGTTCGCCGACAAGCTGCGAGTGTATTTTTTTCTTTCTCCTTTTGAGATATTTATTTTACACACGTTTTATTATATTGCTTTACTGTGTGTATTATTATTTGTATTATTACTATTATTATTATTATTATTATTATTATTATTATCGTTATCATTATTATTATTGTTTGATTGATGTACATTGATTTTATCCTTTTATTAAATGACATATACAACTTCATAAGGTCTTGAGCTTTATTTATGTGTTATACCACCTGCGGAAAACTTTCCTTTCGAGCAACGTCGATGGACTGCATGCAAATCTGAAAAAGTAGCTGTACATTGAAGTTTTATAATCTTCGTAACCGGAAAAGTTCCGAAGAAGTACAGTATTTTTTTTCAAGTTGCCCCATCGATCGCACTTTTCATCGCTTAGTTTTTTTTTAATTCCTTTCACTTCACCGCATACTTCCTTGCACTTTGATCGATAACTTCGAGATTTTTACTTAAATCGGTTCCTCGTAAAATTTTTCTTTCTTTGTTTTTCGTTTGCATCGTAATCAATTCGGCACATAGTTTAATCTACCATTTGAAATTCAAGCACATACTTGTTGCTTATGTTCCAAAAAGATACAACTCGATAATCATTTTTCAAAGTATATCATCAACTCGTCAGTCTCTTTCAAATACATTTCAAAAAAGCTCAAGTGCACCAACAAAGCACACATCATTCAAAAAAAAATCAGTCCAAATTCATCTCATAACACACGTCCATCAATCATTCGCCTCGTAGGCCCTGCATAAGCGGCCATCACCAATACCAACGCCAACACCAGCAGCAGCCACAGTAGGAACAACCGTATCGTCAGGTGGAGTTTTAGCAGCAGCGGCAGCGAAAAAGCCAATAGCATCAGTAACACCATCAGCAGTAGCAGCTGCAGCTAGAGGAGCACCGCCGCCAGTACCACCGAACAAACCGGTGGTACCGCCAAAGAAGGAAGTTGCGGCGGCTTTTCTCAGGAAAGCGTCCGAGCAGTCGGTCGATTCACCAACAGGTGTCAAGCAGTTTGTTAAGCAGAATACCGTTATTGCGAATCCTAATGCCACGAGTGTATTGCAGAACCAACAACAGCAGCCGCTTGTCACTGCTGACGAAGAGGTACGTTTTTACATAATTTTTCCGTCATATATAAAAGATTACAGATGTAATTTTCGTTTTTCAGGCAAAATCTCGCTGACTTTACTAATCGACTAACAGTTCATGAAGATTACGGCGACGAGCGAACGTTTCAGCGACAAGCTAACGCCGCCAACTTTGCAATACAAACAGCGATAGCCGGAGCTGCTTTTCAAACGAAACGAACGAATATAAATATCAAATTTCCTCGTGTAGTACCGCGATTGAATCAAAAAGGTAGGATCGTTTTTATAATAGACGTTATGTCGGAGGCATGGCAAAGAGTAAAAAAATTTAAGGTGTCAAACTTCGTAGCAAAAAGTCCTCTCCAAAATCTAGCTTAAGTTCCTTAAACAAAAAAACAAACAATAACATATACACAAACGTACACACACGATTGACTCCTATAGAGTCTAGGCATTAATTCAAGCTCTATATTCAATATTGATTCATTCGAGCGACAAGCATTCATTCATACCACTGCCTTCATTCCGCTCTCAATTTATATATATACATTATATATACATTATTGTTTATCTTGTAATAATAACACGTGCAATGCATTTTTCATTGACAAAGAAAAAGAGAGAGAGAGAGAGAGAGAGCGATATATGTTTCAGCAGTTGGAACGAGTGAATACTTTCAGTTCAAACAGTATATCTATACAGTTTCGTTGTTTTTTTTGTTATTAATTTTACCCTTTTCCTGAAAGTTGCGAAAAACTTTGTATAACCTCGATGTCGCTTTTACTCCCGTAATTATAACAAAGTTTCTCATGCCTTCTGTGAAGGCATCCTCCCTTCTATTAAAAATAAAAGCACCGAGCTATAAAGTTCGATTAAACGCGCGTAAAATTAGTAGTGAAAAAATAATAAGCTAACAAACATATGTTTATTGAAGCAATATAAATGAGATTGACTATTGAAAATACAATTAAAACAAAGACAACAAGAACAAATACTCAACAAAAGAAAAATAACAACAAGATAAAGTAAACTCGTAGGATCGTAAAATTCTAAATGAGGTTAAGGACTGACGAGACCAATCGTCGCTTCTAGTCGGGGAGGGGGGGTCCAGCGGTATATAATTTTTTTCTGATTATTTATCGTTGCTCGAATTATCGTAGGACATAAGTTGAATTTAAGTGAGTCTATTTGTCAGACAAACAAACAGGGAAGCCCGAAAACAAGAAAGAAACTTGTCTAAAATGTATACTCGTAGACATCTTAATAGACTTTGTAAGTGACTTCTTCCCTATATACATTTATTATACTTTTTTTTATAATTTGTATTTTGTTATGCTGCGAATCTCGTGACTGATTGATTTACTTAATTACTTCCGATTTGATGTTACAAGAAAAAAATTATTCATATTGGACGAAATGAAACTTTTTGATATTGTCAGTCGAATCGACTTAAGCATATTACTTAGCGGAAACTTAAGTATTATACACTATATGTTCTTTATTAGTTGGATATTTTGTAATGGAGTGCAATGATAGCAAGAGCTAAGAACATGTAAATGAATGTAAAAAAATATGAACGACGATATTTGCAAAGACGGCATTTTATTGTCCTATACCGTCATCGTGATCTCTTTTCTCAGTTGTAAAAGACTGACATATGTACTTGACTCGAATAAAATGTATAATTTATTCCTTTGGCCGAATAATGACATAAACTTAAATCATAAGTATATCAATTTTTTTATATTTTCGGAAGATTTGGTATATAAATGTGTGCAGTGTGGACGGAGTTTTAATCGAGTCAATTGCACTTGGATTTTTCTTTGTTTTCTTTTTATTATTTATACTATTAAGGCACCGTAAACAAAACATAATCTACCATAGATGATATCTGGTAATGTACAGTCTTCCAAAGTTCTGGACCGGTAACTTAAACTAACACGAACAGAATGGTATTGCTTTGAATTATCACGGTATTTTTTTCGGAAGATTTTTTAAACAAAATAATATTGTTTTCTCATTCCTTTATTGTTTGAATCCTTTATCTCCTAAACTGACTGTGTTTACGGCTCCAAAACTGTTAAATAAACTTCAACTGTATCAATTTTGTAATTAATACGTAATAAGAAGTTTTACGTGAATTTTACGATTTTTTCATGTAATAATTAACAAAACTTGTAAATAATAACTTGATAATGTAGTATGAAATATCTGTAAAAATTATAATCAATTAAATGTTAAATAAAAATACTCGAATTTAGCACAAAGAATATCGAAGTTTCTGTTGTCACTATTATAGTATTATTTAATTTTGCTTCCACAAGTTCGAATGATTTATCAATTCAGCCAAGGTACATATTAGATAAGGCTCATAAATCACGACACCTTTTTGAGAGAAAGAAAATAGCTTATCACCGTAAGAGTTCACTGACAAGCTTCTCCAAAACTTTTTTCGCGTTCAACATTAAAACGCTTATTCATTTATAAATCTGATGTGTTATCTTACAAAAGATGAAGCATTCTCGTTGCTTGAGCTATGGCAAATACTTTTGAATTTGATTCTTCACAGCATACTTGAATTTTGCCGGTGTTTCAGTCCACCGAGCCGCGGTGTGTGTAAGAAATTAACTTGAAAATTGGATCTTGTCATTTGAGACGACTAAAATAAAACTACGCGTAGGGAGGGGGTAGACGGCGTAAAAAAAGTCGCACTCTCCCGGACGACGACCACTGAGCGCGAAAACCGAGTAACGCAGAGCTGCGCAGAGTGTCCCAAGGTTTCGTCGGAGTCACACGGGGCTCGGCACGAGCGCCTGACTGACAAGTTAAGTTTTGTCGATAGTTTTGCGAGCAAACGAGTTTCGCGAACGCAATCAACTACGCACGCAAGTTCACTGTGTGGGTGCTGTGTAGAAAGTGCAGTACGTCGTTGAATCGAGAGATTTGGTGAACAATAGTTGCTCGTGGTCGGCATCTTTTATTTTCGAGTCGAGTGCATTTATTTTTCGCTTATATCGCCGAGTCAGCCATTCGGTAATGGTAGCTTATTGGTGGCCGTGACGCCGAGGATATTTTTATTCGAAACAATAGTAGAGTTCGAAGTCCGATGGCAGTTCCTATCGTCGTAATTAATCTTATAGGGGAGAGAAAGTACGCTGCTTGTAAAAAAGATCATTGCGGAGCTCGTAAAACATGACAATTTGTACATGTAGTTGAATATTTTTATTAATAGAGAGGCAAGGTATGCTATAGTTCAGATGCTTATGTCACAGGTTCGCACCTCTAAATGAATGCTGGCATCCATTTCAAAATACACTCTTTTCTCGGAGATGTTTCGCTGGCCAAAATGCTAATAAAGAAAAAATGACAGAACGCATGTGAGAGCGGCTAAATGATGAATGATGACACGTTACGAAAGCATTTGCTCGGTGTTATGAGTAGGTTTTGATTGACCAGATTGTTCAAAAGTTTCAATCGGTCGCGTGATAACTTTGGGAATCGTTTTATTTGTAGAATTGAGTTAACGCATATGAATGAATGCGACCTTCGATATGCGATTATTTGAAGTAGGTTTAACTGACGCATATTCGCGCGTACCATTTCTGCTGTATTTTTACATATTTATTTTGGAGCGAAGAAACGCATAAACGTTGTTATGGCCTTGCGAATGTATTTTGCTTTCAAAACTCGAATCAAGTTCTAATTCTCAAAAGGTTTTCTTTTTTGTTGATAAACTTCTCTGTTTTACTCTTAAAAATCTCCCTTGGCGCTTAAAAGCAGTCTGTGAACATTTTTATTGAAAAGTTTATCAACAGAATGATAATACGTTAAATTGCTCAAGAGGTCTAAAAGACTCAAAGATAGCAACAAATCAAGCTTAGTCACGTATAGCCCGTCTGACTTAGAAAGATAAGAATAAACTGGTCAGTAATCTGAAATATATTGTTATCAAAGTAGGACAATAAAACTTTCGGTCGTTCAGCCAGCATAATTGCCTTCAAATCTTATTCTACACAATCACATCGTATCTTTAGATCAAAAATTTCAATCGCATATATAAGTAGCATTTATTGAACCTCTTGCCAATTAGCCGCAATAGACTATAATAGTGACCACGCAGTGATAAAAAAAACTCAAGACAATCGCTTTATAAACCTACTTGTCTTATTTTACAGTTGAGCACGTAACAACGAGACGTCCGCAATAAGATTTCAAGTTACGCGGGCGCTTGTGCTTTTTAACATAAATATAGGTTATCTAGCGCCGGCGCCTGTCCCAGCAGGTATATATTCTCCGATTAGATCAAAGCAGGCGTGCGTTCGTTTGTCCAGAAATAGATTAACCCACAGGTAAACAAAAGGGACGTCGCACGTGCCAGCGCTTCCGAAAATCCAGCGAGACCGCCGCACGCGGGACCAGCCTAACCTCAACGCATCCGAATAACACGTAGAAAGGAGAAAAAAAATTTTTTAGCTTGCGCATTGGACGCTTTGGCTGCAGCACGCAGAGCACAGACGGAGAAGGAGCTATACTGCCTACGTAGCGGAGTGCGTGCGCCTCTCCTGGGTATCGTCGTTCCCGCAGTTATTAATTGATCGACGTGTACACGAGAGGAGGCGCGCCGCGAATTCCAAAAATAACGACGTGCCCCCGTAGTGCGGCGAGTCAGCGGTAACATACGAGCGAGATAGCACGCAGGCAGAATGTCGTCGCGCTTGCTAGTCAGGCGGCTCCAGTCGTCGCGCGCGCTCCTCAGTTGTAGCGGCGCCAGCATGACGGGCACCAGAGCTTCCCCGCGCGAGCAATCCACTCAGCAGCAGCAGCAGCACCAGAGGGTCCTGACCGAAGACAATGTCTTCGACAATCTCGTCAAGATGGAGTACGCGGTTCGCGGACCGCTGTTGCTCAGGGCGTTGGAGATCGAAAAGGAATTGAAGAAGGTCAGCAATAGGGTGTGCGTCGACGTGTGCGCCCGCGCGATTGGGGGTTAGTTGGGCGTACGAGCGGGCGTCCTTTTCGCTTTTCGTAGCGCGCTCGGCGGCCCAGCTGCTTGGCAAAGGTCCTGACTTAAAATCTCCGGTATACGCGCGAAACAGCTGACTGTCCTTGCGCAATCAGCTAAAGTCGCGGGTCGTTACGCCTCTGTTTACGTTTCCGGCCATTGCGCCGCCTCGCTGGTGCTCTCTGCCGACGAGCACGTCCCGTCGCAGACACCGTCGACGAGCGAACGTAAGGGCGCAGCTCCCGTTCGAGTTTGATCGTCCGTCTTATAGACTCGGGAGACGGGACGAAGCGGGCGATCGATGTGCATCCCGCGTATACGCGCGCGCGACGCGCGTGCCATCGCGATCGACGGAAGGCCGTATTCATTTGTCTGATCGTCGTGTTACAAACGGAAAATCACTGGACGCGATGATTCCCAATTGCCGGCGATGCTCTCGCAGCGAACGACGCGCTCTGGCCTATTTCGTTTCGCCGCGTATCGATCACCGCGTTCCGTGCACACGCGGAGGAATCTCTCTCTCTCTCTCTCTCTCTCTCTCTCTCTTTGAGCGGGAACGCGCACAACTCGGTCGCCGCGGCAACAGAAAAGAAAAGCAAGCAATAATAAAGCATTTCTCTTTCGCGCGAGAACGCGTGCCTAGCTTTGTCATTAGTCGGCGAAGGTCGGCTTATCCGACGAATGTGTACACAGACGTTTCGGCAGTGTCGACAATGGGGGGGCTCTGTTTGGGTTTGTCGATTCGCACGGACGCCTCTCGGGCAACGGGCGGGGCGATCGAAGGCAGCCGCATTTCCAGCTCGCGCTCGCTTATCGCTTATCGCTTATCGCGCGGTTCCGGGAACGCCGGCGATTGGCTCGACGCGCGGAAGCGCCAAATTGGCGCTAATCGCGCTTCTGGAGCGCGTCCGCGTTGCGCAAGGCGCGCTCGCTCGACGCGTTGCGCAACGAGCGCGCGGCCGGACTGGAATGCAAGGCGAATCGGCGCGCGAATGGGAAACCTGTTGCTCGCCCTCGGGCGCGCCAAGTCAAGTCCACGGGGCGGCGACTGCGATCGTCCGTTTCTGCGGTCCGTTCGCAGGGCGCCCAGAAGCCGTTCAAGGAGGTGATCAAGGCTAACGTGGGCGACGCCCACGCCATGGGACAGAAGCCCGTCACCTTCCTCCGGCAGGTCCTCGCCATCGCCCTGTACCCCGAGCTCCTGGAGGATCCGAGGTAAGCGCGCCGCGGCTGAGGCGGCTGAGGCCCCAGTCGGGCGGTGGCAAGCACACGCGCGAACCGACGATGCCGATGATCGAAGGTACCCGGAGGACGCCAAGAGCCGCGCCAGAGTGATACTCGAGGGCTGCAAGGGCTTCAGCGTGGGCTCGTACTCGGAGTCGGCGGGCATCGAGGTCATCCGGAAGCACGCCGCCAAGTACATCGAGGAGCGCGACGGCGGCATCCCCAGCGACTACCGCAACGTCATTCTGTCGAACGGCGCCTCCGACGGCATCAAGGTGCGCCCCGTCGCTCGCGCCCGTCCTCTCCGCCAGCCTGCTCGCTCGCTCCTCTCGATTCGCAGGCCTTCCTGAAGCTCTTCAACGAGCGAATCGACGGCCGGCCCACGGGCGTACTCATTCCGATACCGCAGTACCCGCTGTACTCGGCGACCATCGCGGAATTCGGACTGCAGCAGTGCGGCTACTACCTCGACGAGGACAACAAGTGGGCGCTGGACACGAGCGAGCTCGAGCGCGCCCTGGGCGAGGCGCGGCGGCACTGCAATCCGCGCGTGCTCGTCGTCATCAATCCGGGCAACCCGACCGGCCAGGTGCTGTCGCGCGAGAACATCGAGGCCGTCGTCAGGTTCGCCTACAAGAACAGGCTCTTCTTGCTGGCCGACGAGGTTTACCAAGACAACATTTATCACAAGGACTGCTGCTTCCACTCCTTCAAGAAAGTCATAACCGAGATGGGCGAGCCTTACGTCAATATGGAGCTGGCATCGTTCATGTCTATTTCCAAGGGTAACGTTGGCCTTTCCTCGTTGTCGCAAAATCATTGCTCATCGGTGATCGTGCGGCAGGTTACATGGGAGAGTGCGGCCTTCGCGGCGGTTACGGCGAAATCGTCAATATGGACCCGAAGGTCATGGCTATCTTGTTGAAGTCGATTTCGGCGACGCTCTGCCCGACCGTCGTTGGCCAAGCGGCCATGGACGTCGTGGTGAATCCGCCGAAACCGAGCGAGCCCAGCTACAAACAGTTCCAGATGGAGAAGGAGAGCACGCTCAAGTCGCTTGCCGAGAGATCGAGGCTGGTCGTCGACACTCTCAACGGGATCCCCGGCTATCATGTGCGCAACATCCGTTCTCTTCGAACGGATCATCGCTAACGACACTTTTTATCTAACTATTTATTTATTTGTTTATTTTTATTGAAATAACGTTACAGGCCAATCCTGCTATGGGTGCTATGTACGTTTTTCCGAGAATCGATCTGCCGGAGAAGGCGATCAAGGCAGCCAAAGCGGCGGGCCAGGAGCCCGACGTGTTTTACGCTTTCAAATTGCTGGAGAGCACTGGTATCTGTGTAATTCCAGGCTCGGGTTTCGGTCAACGTCCAGGTACTTATCACTTCAGGACGACAATACTGCCGCAAAAGGATAAAATTAAATCGATGCTTGGGCAGCTCAAGGAATTTCACTTAAAGTTCCTTCAAGAGTACAGCTAGGCTCTGTAATTGTATACGTGTATTATGATTTTTTTAGCGCGATATATCAAAAAACGTACGCTATTTTTCGATTCGGATGTTCTATGTACGTTCTTTCTATATATACATATATAGAAACGAGATATTTTCTTTTTCCTCTTTGATTCACAGCAGAAGTCCTGCGTGTGCGCCATGCTATGTATATCCTTGAGAGATTTTACCTACCACAATTTTTTTACACAAATTTTTCGCAGGTCGCTAGTGTTACTTATTTATTAATTCTTAAGCTTAGTTACATTTGTAAATAATTGAAAAAAACTTGTCTATAACGAAATCGTTGACGTTGCTCAATGTATGTGCTCTTCAAAAAAAATGTAAAGATAAAATTTTTCCAGTAAAACTTGATCAGGGCTTTTTATTATTTGTTGTACCACGGTTACCATACAGATAGAGACACATTTATTGATATCCAGAAGAAAATAATGAACTAAATCAAAACATTTATATCAATTTCTTTATTTTAAATATCTTCATTTATTAATTAGACTATGTTAAATTTTTGAAATACATAAACAGGAAATAAAATAGACGGCTTTGTATTCATAGTAGATAGTTACACTGGTAACAGAGTACTAGACGTAAAAAGATATAGAGCAAAAAAGTTATTGACTGCGATAACTTTTGTTCATTAAATAATGAATTTGAATAATAAAATAATTTGGTAACAATGACCTAGAAATACGAGAAGAATGAAACATGACTGCTCGTTCAAACTAGTCAATACAAAATTAGAATTTATCCGTGCACCCACACTGAATAAACCACTTATGAATTGCATGAAACATGCGACTGAGCGTCGGAAAATTCCAGAAAAAAAACGTCAAAACTTCGCACGACATTAGACTTTTCGGGCGCCATCGATCTCCGAGACCGTGATGTCTCTCATCGGAACGACGAGAAGACAGTTATGTAGGACGCCGCTGTCTTGACAATCTACAATTGAACGATAATGGCTTGAGATCGGAGGAACGAAAGGCTGGTCGGGCGACGCGCACGTACGACGGGGAAATTGTCGAAGTTGAGGAAAATGGGCAGCCGCTTTGTGCCCGCGAGGCACGTGTACCACTCGTTGTTCGTCCTGCAACACGTCACAAGTACTTCAGCTCGCGCGATTAGTGACCGGGATCGGCTGTGCGGTTCGACTGCGTTGCGAGACTCGCGCGACATCGGATATTGCGTCGGCATGATCGATCAGCTGCTGACCCGGCCAGAACGTATTGAACAGGCGCACGAGAGCGCAGATAGCGAACACGGCGTATCCAAATAAATTGATCGGAGCGCCGAGATTGCGGAGCACCTAAAAATGTGGCTGTCGTGTCGGTTCGAACGAAACTTGCGTGGCACGTTACTCGCTAAAATGCAAATCAAGGGAATGACCACGAGGTGGCTGCATATCACGAGGAAGTTCCTCGGGGCACCTGGTCGGCCTGAAAATGCGAGCGACAGTCGAGTCCGCGACGTCGCGTGAGCTTACCGAGGTAGTCGACGGCGAGGAGCTTGTCGCGCTCCTCGGGCTCATTGACAACGCTCCAATTGATCACGATGCGACTGTACAGCGCCCTCATCTGTACGAGCGACGGGCCGTGTGCGTTATAGACTATTACTCACCCTCTTTTCCGTTACGACTGTCAACGAAAACTGTATTTTGAACGATTATCATTAGGCCGTGCTCCATGAATTTTCCTGCATCGTGAAAGTTCACTTTCAGGGCGATTCCCTGAAGTATTTCGAAGTGCATCGGGAACATTGCTACGCGACCCAGACACACGCCGATAATAATCGGCTTGCGCGGCGACCGCGAAAGCTCAAGCGCTTCGGTTTCTTCGTCCAACAACGGTCGAATTTTCCGAATCTGTCGGAGGATCGAGCGGGGAGCACGGAAAAAGGAAAGCCAACCAGCAGCAGCAGGTCAAAGTTCCCTCTTGGAGTGATACGGCCGATGCACGTCGTCAGCGTCTTTTGCACGCAGAAGTAGGGGCCTCGTCGTAAGTAGCTGAATTCACGCGAGCTCGCGACCACCGTGCGGCGACTGGGTGCGCGTCGCCGAATCCAAACCCGATTGCACGCACGCTCTGAATAATTCAGCATCGACTGAAGCCGCTAATTGCGCATTTTCGAGAACGCGAGCCCGCAAGGGCTGTCGCGTCACGCGGGCGTGGCTCCGATTCGCTAAACCGAGGACAACCGGCCGTCCGTCCGATTTCCAGTCCGATCGCATCGAGAGCTAAATTTGCGTGCAATTTCGTGACCTCGCGTAGAATCAGCTTATTGATTGGCGAAGGATCAATGCCTCTCGAGAAGCAGCTATTTCGATCTGGTAATAACCTAACGCCTAGCAGCCGTGTAAGTCAAGAGCGAACAGCAGCAATAATGCACGAAGATTTCATTATCTCCAACGCACCGAGCCTAACTCTCTCTCTCTCTCTCTCTCCCTCCCTCTTTCTCTCTCCGTTACGGAATATAGCTGCTGAAATCGACGCGACTAAGTCTCAAGCAGACGTTGATGTCGTTCGAAAGCACAACTTTCCTCCGAAGCATCTCTTTGAGTGCTCGCGTCGATTATAGTCATTATTGATTGAACGCAGCGATTAATCGGATTTTATGCGTGTATAGTTCGCAATGCGTTTGACGAGGCCGCAACTACGCCAGTATCTAAGTTTCACGTTTAAAATTTTATGCATTCTGTAGAAAATACCAGAAGTGAATTTTTTCTAATTAACCCTGCCCTCAGTTTTTACTAGCTGGCATTCGATAATAATTTACCTTATCACAATGGTTCACCTCGATCTTTATTTTATTAAGAGTAATTGTAAGGCAATTGATATCAGTTAAAGGGGTAGTACACTGAAACAGCAATGAATAAAGTGGATAGGCGTAGGTCATAGGACAATTGGTAAGGAGCCCTTTGCCAAGTGAGTTTAGCGTCGTGTAGGCATCCGAACGAAGTATACGTACGCGTTCTTCGATTTTCTTCAATGGATTGGAAGCACTTTTTCACATCGCCGGCTCGCATATTTATCTCTCGCGCCGCTTGAAAAGCCTTCGAAATAATCGAAAAAGAGAAAAAAAATCGCGACGCGATTGCGCGGCTCTGAGCCTTTGGATAATCGCGCGCTAAATCACTTTCACCCGAGCCACGCCAATCTCGCAAAACTCTCAAGGAAAAATGTGGATCGCTCATATATTAACGGGCTGACGATGTGTCTTGCGCGCTTTGCGGCCCTCGTTTCTTTCGTGTTTTCACGTACAAATTGAAACTTCAGAATCACGTCACTGCGTGCCGAATATTGCGTCGAATCGATAAAAAGCATGATAAAGAAAATTCGATAAAAAGTGCAATGAAAGCTTTAGAAACAATATGTGCATTCTTCACGTTGTAAATAACAGACATGGTAGAACTCTACCCCTTCCAGTTCACGTTTAATAGTTTGCTGATGTATTTGATATTGAAAATTCAGGTTTAGTAACAGTTTAGATTCATTTTTAGGTAGAAGCTCCCGCGTGTCTATATAATCAATTATTCTTCCAAATTCTCATCTTTTAGCTAAATTAGAGCATCAAATGTGTTTAATAATTTCATTTCCTTAACTTTTTACGCGTACCGTTCACTGTTTCGGAGTTTCACCAAAAACCTCAACAAAAAAACTAATTTCTTACGGGTTTGGTTAAGATTAAGAAAACGCACAAGTTTTGCCGTCAACATTTTTTCTTTTCTTCTTTTTATTGAGCGTGACTTTCTAAATATCGACGATTTGTTTCTCAATATAACATTAATATAACAACGCAACGTCTAGATAAGCTCGTAAATTTATCTACATCTCATTTTTAAAAGAAAAAAAAAAACATTCTCTAATGTCTCGTGCCGATAATTATGTACAATTTGTCTAATGGCACCGACGTTTCACAATCAACTGTTATCACAAAAAGAAACAGAAAACAAGGTCGATTACAGGTCGTCGGAGAGCCTCTCGATCTCTTCAACGAAGAAGTGCATGTCAGCTTCAGTTAGTCCGGAATTTTGAAGAACGAGCCTGAAGAAGTTCGGTTGGCCTCTGATCGGTTGATACGTTATTAACATCGAGCCTTTCTTCACCATTCGCCCCTTCACTATTGGCGCCACCGTGTGCATGGCCTTCATCAGTTCGTCGCCTTGCAAGTGTCTCTTCGACGGCGGAATGTATCTGCAACGAGGGAAACAAACGAAAAGGAAAAACAGCCGAACGTTGAAATATCCTTGTCTCTCGGCTGCGACGGCCGTGATTTCGAGAAGCGCGTCTCTGACCTGAAGCAGACGTTGGTGCATTCGGGCTCCAGCAGCAAGTCCCATCCGTTTCGATGCCTGATGAGCCCGACGAAGTAGCGCGACAGCTCGAAGACCCTCTCGACGTGCTGCTCGAGACCCGCGCTGCCCTTGGCTTTCCACATGAGCCAGAACTTGAGCACGTCGGCCCTGCGACCGCACTGCACGTGCTTGTCGCCCAGGTCGTAGCTCGTGTCGTAAAACTTGTCCTGCTGGAAGAGGTAGGTGGCCTTCGAGCCGTGGGCCGACTGCAGCAGGTCCTTGTGCCTGCGGAGAGGAAGCAACGTGGTCAGTCGGCGGCCTGGTCGGTCGGTCGGTCGGTCGGCGAGCGCGCACCTCGTCAGCAGGGTGGAGCACTGCTGCGGCGCGGCGAGCAGCTTGTGCGGGTTCCAGGTGACGCTGTCGGCCAGCTCGACGCCGTCGAGCAGCGCCCGGTGCTTGCGCGACATGAGCGCGCCGCCGCCCCAGGCGGCGTCCACGTGTAGCCACATGCGGTGCCGCCGGCAGACCTCGGCGATGTCGCGCAGCGGGTCGAACGCCCCGAGGACGGTGGTGCCGGCGGTCGCCGAGACCATGAGCGGGCGCGCGCCCTCGTCGACGGCGCGGCGCACCGCCAGCCGCAGCTCGTCCACGCGCATCCTGCCGGCCTCGTCCACCCGCACGCAGCGCACGTTGGCTGCGAACAGTCGAGAGGCGTGCGTCGCCGAGTGAGCGCGAGGCGAGCCGGCGACAAGGGCGACGGCGCCGACCTACCGCTGCCGAGCCCGAGGAAGGCGGCCAGCTTCTTCACCGAGTAGTGGGCGTCCTCGGAGGTGAACAGCGCGAGCCTGGGCACCGCGGTCACGCCCTCCTCCTTGACCTCGGGGAACATCCAGTGCCTGGCCAGGTTGATCGCGTAGCCGTTGGCCATCGAGCCGCCGGGGCAGAAGATCCCGTCGCCCTCGCCGTCCTGAGGAGGTCCGGTCGGCCGCGGTCAGCGAGGGCTCGCGCGCCATGAGAAACGCATCGTCGTACTCACGGGCCATCCGACGGCGCGGCGCATCTCCCTCAGCACGCTCTCCTCCATCAGCGAGAACACCGGCGACACCTCGTACGTGTACACCGACGGGTTGAGCGCGTCCGTCAGCCACTGGCCGACCAGCCCGTAGGGGTCGACGCTCGAGTACAGCTGGTTGACGAAGCGCGGGTGGCCGGTCTTCACGCTGTAGCGTATCACCGCGCTCACCAGGCGCAGCAGCGACTCGTGGGACTCGCCGCGCTGCCGCGGCGCCAGGTCCACGCTCGCGGGCAGCGACGCCGGCTCCACCCACTCCACCACCCGGCTCTTCCGCGACGTGCCCTGCGACAATTGCGCCCACGCGTCGCTTTGCTGTGCTCGGCCGGCGGAAGCCCGAGCCACGAGCGCCCCGGCCGCGGCACGCGCGTCCATTGAAAAATTAGATCGGAAATTCCGATTGGCGCGCGCGCGCGCATCAGCGGCCGAATTGAATAATCGCGCGGCTGACAGGTGGACAAACCGCCGTCTAAGTGTGTCCGTGTTTGCGCTCGGCCGGGGGGCGAGGGCGCACACGCTAATTACGTCCTAAACGTGCCTCTATCAAATTGACTTTCCTAAGTGCGTCCTGCGCGGCTTCGCTGATCAGCGCTTGTGTCATCCCGAAGCCAGGTAAAAATAAGAGAAACAAACAAACGGAACCGCCGCGATTGGCATGCCGATTGCAGGAGAAAACGCGCGACGGGTGTCGTTCAACTTGATTTGGATGCTCGTTCGCCGTGCGCGTCCGTGGATGTCGGATGTGTTTCGATCAAAAATTCAGAAACGCTGCGACTTCCCGTTTGACGATCGCATTTTTTATTTATTTATTTATTTTTTCAAAGCGCACCTCGCTCGAGCAAAAAGTGCAAGAACGGTTTTGCCGTCACGGGCGTAAGAGAAAAAAAAAAAAAAAAAAAAAAAAAACAGGAGCGATTGCGTGCTCGCTACCTTTGATTTTTATGAACGAGGCGTACGCGGCCTGCGTAATTACAAATTGCGCTCGTTCTTGTTTTTCCTTCGGCGGACAATTAAGCTCGAACCTACGGCTTTCGAGGAGAAAAATTGCAGGTCGCGCGCCGGACGCGAGAGGCAGTGTTTCCTAACGCGCGGCATTCTGGAAAGGCAAGGACAGGGCGCTCGTACCTCGAACACAGCCTCGGCGATGATCAGGTCGACGGCGTCGCGTATGAACTTCTCGTGCGCCTCCCTGGTGGGCAGGCTGGCGAAGTTGGCCTCGCGTTCCATCGCGCAGCAGCCCTCGTCGCTGTCCTCGCTCAGGTGCGCCTTGTCAGCGGCGAGCTCGCGGCCAGGCGGCGACGACGACGACGACCCGCCGCCGTCCGAGTCCTGCGACGGCGTCGCCTCCGCCGCGGGCAGTTGCGCTTGCTGCGTCTCCGGCATCCTCGCGCCTCGCCGGCCGTTATCCGTCTGAGCGCGCCTTCACCTCGCGCCGCTTCCTTTATACCTATGCCGCGAAAGTGGCAAGGACGGGCTTGCTCCGCGCTCGGCGGAACTACGCGAGCGCGGTTCGCGCGATTTCTCTCGCTGACGATGCTTCCCCGCGGTCCCCAGCTGCGGACAAGAACGTGACCCTGGTGCCTGCGGTTTCGTGCTTTTTTTTCCTTTTCCCGCCGAATCCCAATGCCACTTTTTACACTCTTTCGGCGAATCGTCGACCTTACTCTTGCGGGCCGACGGCGAACTGAAATTTCTATTTTTCGCAAGATTTTGCTTTTCTTCCTTTTCTCGTCACGGTCACGGACATCTTGAAACTGATCATCGAGAGAAAACGATTTACGATGGTTTTGAATAACATTTCGCGAAAACCATTCGCAAGGCGTTTTGATTTCTAAATGCACAAACGAAATTTGCAATTTTGTAAAATGCCGTTGATTCGCACGGCGAAGACACAGCGAAGTCGTGTCTACGACGATCGTTCGATTAACGCTCCAAATCTAATCTCAAGACTTCCCATGACTTTCGGCTCGATCTTCCGACAGTCGCGCGTCCATTCGCGCCGCAAGGCTTGCCGTTCTCGTCGTCGGGCTCCGCTCAACTTTCCATCTCATTGCAACGCATTTCCCAGGTCGACAACTTCTGGCATTCGTTGGGCTCTTTGCTCTGTTCCGCTGGCTCCACGTTGCTTGGCCCCCACGGTTGATGCGACCACGTGCGTGGGATTTTGAAAAAAGAAAACAGGCGAAGGCATTAGTGTGCGTCGTTCGATCTCGTCGGACGGCTAAAGAGCGCGTATACTCGAAGCGACGCGTGGGTTGCTCCGGGAGAAAAAAAAGTTAGAATTTCATAAGAATCGCGTTCGAAAATTTGGTTCGTTAACCAAAGTACGAACAATCGGGACAGCCCTGCCCGCCAATTACTTATATTTTTTTTCCTGGCTGCACTTCGCGGAGGGACCTAACGCAACTCGCCACTCGCTAAAGATACGTCGCTTTCTTTGCATGGATATCCTGCGTGTACAGCGACGAGCTCGTGTAACTCGGCTCGCGAATAATGTTGCGCAATATTTCTATCGACTTCGCTTCCTGTACCATTTCTAGTCAGACCCATGAACGTTGCTACATTTCATCGTGAAAATGCATGCCGTGATCTTGGGTTTCTGTGGTATGTCGACGATCAATGTCGCTCGTTGTACTAACCACTCATCGATTGCGCATACACGCCAGTAGTTTTTCACTTCAACAGAATCTACGCTGATGAGTTTCGAAATTAATCTGAATGATTGGTTGGTAGCCGAGCATAGGAAGCGTGCTTATTATTATAATCACTTCGTTGGGGGAATCGGAGTACTCGAGACTTTTCTATTGATCTGTAATCGTATCAATTAAGCTGAGATCGATCAGGCAAGACGCACGTCGCGCTATGTTCGCCTGCTCTCAAACCGATTCGCTGACCGATTTCCATCCTTGTCGCCTGCACGGACGAGTTTTCGCGTGAAAATCTGGCTTTCAAAGGAGCCAAAGGAGAAATATAGCCCCCGCATCCTTACGACAGCATCGATCGCAGAAACTCCGCGAAGGTCGCCGTGCAAAAGTCGCGGAAGCTTAATCCTTTTCTACTCTTTTATTTCACTTCACCTCTCCGCGGTGCAATTACATCCATTAGCCGAAGCTCTCCTCTCGAATTGACCATCCGACCTTCGTCGATTGTTCGCGCTCTAATGATTTTCAAAGTTAATATACGTTGCGCCGCGGCGCACTCGAAAGCGGAAAGAACCTTCGATGGGCCGTTTACGTTCCTTTGCGCATCTCGAGCGTGCGCGCGTCGACCTTGAATAACTTTTTTTCAATTGGCGATCCGGTGCAGTTTCCCGGTTCCACGACGCGCCGAAAAATGCTGACGCGACGATGTCAACTGGGTGAGAATGATCGTTATGGGATAATATCCGTGTTTCTAGGACTGGTTCTGCGTGCGTCAGCGCGAGAGATTCGATATTTTCCTAATATAATAAGGAAAAGTTGAACACGGTAAGTTGCAAGTGCGTCATCAATCCTGTACGCGAGGACGGAAAAACGTTTATAAAATTTACAGGCAACCTGTACCACAGCTAGTTCAAGAACGGTACGTTCAACCAAATTTCAAATGAATTATTTTTTATGACGACTCAGTAAACAATTACAGCACCAATATATTTAATCGTTTTTAAAACACACGTTGTGTAATATTGTCAGAGTGTGAGCTCATTGATTTTTCTCAAAGTAAAAGAAAAAAGTATTACCCATTGCAATTTTGTATATACGGTGTTTGCATAATGTTGTGTAACACTAAAGTAAGATAGTTTCGTATTAAACGTTCTTATCAATAATAAAATTTTGTAGCATTGAGACGAAGTAGATAATCCGACGTATCACATGTCTAAAGAATTCTCGTGAAATTAAAGACAAACTTCATTAAATTCTATTCCAGTTGTATATAATACGTTTAACGTTGTAATATTTATAAAAAACAAGTTCAATCTTAACAATCAGAAAAACAAAAAAACATTATAGGATGATGGCCCCATTTTTTCTCATTTTATGTGTTCTAGTTTGAATGCAACAATTATATTGAATATTGTTATATGAAGGTTATTTTCATAATTACAATGGAGTAAAGTTATATACCATGTATACTACAGCATTAAAAATAGTTAAACTATAGCATCAAAAAGAATTTAAGTAATATAACTTTATAATTAACTATCTCTAAAAGCTGAATACTCTGACAATTGATTACAACCATAAAAATTGATTCAACAAAAAATATTACTAGCAAATGTTAAATCCGTTATAAATATTAACTTGTACTAATTGCTTTTCTTGTAAAATTTTAATGAGACGATGATTAATTAATTGTGCAAGTTGCAAAAAATCTATGTATAACTCAAAAATTTCTCGTGTCTCGTGTAAGTGAATAAATAAAAAATATTTATGTTTTTTCTACAAATTACACATTTAAAAAAAGAGTAACATGTTTAATAAATACAGACTAATGTAAATTAACTTTATATCAAACTGTATTTCTATGATATGTGTCTGAAATGTACAAACAGTATAAATTTCAAAAATTTAGAACCTCATAGCTTAACAAATTATTTTCAAAAATATTCTCTAACATTAGATGTAGAATATAATTGTAATTGTATCTATATATACTACAGCATTAAAAATATTTAAACTATAGCATCAAAAAGAATTTAAATATTATAACTTTATAATTTACTATCGTTAAAAGATGAATACTCTGACAATTGATTTCAACCATAAAAAATGGTTCAACAGAAACAATTACTAGCAAATATTAAATGTGTTATAAATATTAACTCGTGTTAATTGCTTTTCTTGGATAATTATTTGAATCAGATGATGATTAGTTTCTGATATACAATGATGTTTTTAGGCAAAATATACCTACTGACAACTAAAAAATATAATTTCAATGCATAAATGCATATTTAAACTCATCACAACCATAGTGGAAAAAGTAACACTTAAATCATTTAAGTATAATTTTAAATATGTAAGCTCTTCATCAAATTTTTAAGCCTAAATACAAAGGAAAGCCCTACTTCTACACTTTCATTTTTATTTGATTATTTGCATCAAAATAGTAAGAATCAGATTCTTAAAACAAATATATAGCCTCATTGACAAATTTGTTATCTAATGTCTGACTTGATGTTGATTAATGATGAAAAGAAATAGAATGTAGTTGTAATTTAGCTTAATTATAAATGTTCTAAAACTTTCTTTACAAACTTTTCCTCTCTGATAAAATATTTTTTGAAAAGTGATAGTTCAATACAATTTTTAAATGGCCTTAATATCAAACACTTTCTCAGTAACATATTTTTGGCAATCTTGTTTCTTTATAACTGATATTACTATATACTTGTTGTATTGATGCAATTTTGGCAACTTTGACTCAAGAAAGTCCTTTATAATTCTTACGAAAATAAAAACAATACTTTTAAACAGTGTATCAACCAAAGTATGCACCGCAATTTGAACAACGTCGATTTTTTAAAAGTAAACAGCAAAGAATTCCAAGAGGGAAGAAGAATATAGCACAAAAAATTCCTAAACAAGTATAATCATCTTCCAAGACTCCAACCTACAAAATGAAAAGTTTTTCATTAGATAAATGTCAAATATAAATTTGTAGAATTGTTTTGAAGATATTTACTCGACATGCTGGACATCCTCCGACAAGAATGATCTCAGGAACAATAACAGTAGTCGAATGTGTAGCTCCATAACTGTTTGGTTGACTGTTTTGTTGATATTGTGGCTCAGGATTCGGAAAGTATCCAGGTGGTGGTTGCCATGATGTACTTCCTAAAAATCATCAGTAAATGAATGTTTTGTTTCTTAATAAATATAGAAATAAAGTGAATCATCAATTTTAACTATATGAAGTATTATATCATGACACTTGTAAAACGAGTTTCTTACTATTAACATTCTGCATAAAATCAGTGATTGCACTGTGGCATGCAATAATATATCACTTAATTTTAATTAAAATGGGCTCATTGAAAAATATTTGAATATTGATTTACTGTTAATTAAATGTTAATCTAGTTTTCTTTTTAATTGACCTTAAATTAAAGTATATTTATTAAATTCATTGTATAAATCAATGCTAACAAAGCAGTACGAATCTAACCTCACTTTTGAAACATAATTACGTACTTCGAACGTTTTACTCTTTGAATTGCCCGTTTCAGAAATTAAAATTACTTATCGTTAAAAATCAACCTCGCCAATAATATGACGACATTTGCATGAAACAAAAATGTCAACAGAAACCAAACATTCAACTATGTCTTATTGACTTACCTTGTTGTAATTGTTGCGGAGACGTTGGCGTAGGACTGTAAGGTGGAGGTCTGTCGTACTTCAAAGTGTTCAGCGGTGTTTTCTCCATCTTCCTTGAGAGTTTTGTTGGTAAATACTAAAGAGAATGTCTGTTCTACGACGGCACTATTCTGCACCAAACCAGCTGATCAACTAAACTTCTGGCACAATTGCGATTTAGATGACGCAGTTGTGGATTATCTTATCTTATGAGCGTTATCTTTGTACATACGTAACCGCCAGCTCCGAAATCATATGTTTGTCAATATCATTCTCCTCTTCGACGATTACAGTACGAATCAATGATTCGTACAAATCTTGATTAGCAATCGCATACTTTGACTGTTTATCGGCGGATCGCATTTGTGCAACTAATATAGAACCGAATAGAGCGCTTTTGCTGCGCGGCGCAGTTAACGAGTTTGTTTATGACTTCTAGCGGAAAACAATAAAAAGCAGTGTGGCCGACTATACGCGGGCAGTCACGTTACGTGATTTCGATCTTCGCAGAATATAAAACGCGAATTCCGATTTGAATGTATTCTGAAACGGACTGTTACCTGATTGACACGTGCACGTAGTTAACCATGACTTTCGCATTTGGACTATTGTGTAGGTACTTGCTTATGTGATACTGCAACTTGTCTCCTATATGTCCGATGATAGTAATCTGCGAGTACACGTTCTCCTTTTTTTTCTAATCTATCGATCGTCGTTGAAATTTTTTTTTTAATTTCATTACAGCGTGACTTGATTTTTTGAAATACTCGCTAAGAAAGATATTTTTATTTCCATTTTTGTTGGCCGATCCTAAACTGCCAGTTGAGCAAAATATTATAGCTGCTTCTATTCGTACGTATTGTTTTGTATTATTCTAAATCTCCAAATTTTTTAGTGATGTAGCTTATTCTCGTGATTTTACGACGATCGAATTGCCTTACTTCATTTATTCCCAACTACTTGTTTCCTGAAATTTCACCTACTTATACTTATACTTATTAGGAATCGAATTTCCTTCTATCTATACTTATCTGTTATTTTTTCAATTATTGTAATTTTCTTTTATTTCTAATCGCAATTTTTTTTACTTGCAATAACCTCATTGAGCTTCAAAATTATTATGATTCAGAAATCCTATAGTGTAAAGTCGTTGAAATTATAATATTTAGCGTGATATAATTGTTTATGAAAATTCTAATTTTATTCGCTATGCACATCATATTGACACATTCATATTTGCATAAAAATATTTGGTTTCATTATTGACTTACGTAAATTGTCTCCAGCTGCTGCGTTTAATTATCCAAAGACTTCCTGTGCGTAATACATAAATACCATCTTTTTATCTCTACCCGGCTCTTTTAGCGATTTGCACTATCAGCTAATATTGACTTTCAGGGCTCACTTTACCGTAAATATAAATTATTTCAAATCGTTTAACTGTTAACTTGTCTCTTTTAATCTCGAATTTGGTGAACGATTTAGCCACATTACATGTTTTCTCATTTACTTTTGTTTATTGGCTGACGGACTAATCTACTTAAACTCCATTCTGACAGTAAACCCAAGCTGTAAAAATCAAGATAATTTTCGAAAAAAAAACAAACATTATTTAAAAATTCTTTTACCTATCGTTGAAAATTTGAAAACTTTGAAATGATCTGAAACGTTTTTGATGATTTCGATAGTACCGTTGAGTTTGATTTTCTTGACGCTTTTTTCCCAATCGATCTTAGGTAACATTGGTTATCATACGACTTCGGTGGTTTCCTCTGTACACCTCTCAGTCTTAGATCTACGTCGACCAGTCGTAACTCGCGAAAAGACTTTTGGAAAACTGCAGCTCGCCCAAGGAATTCGCGTCATCCTTGAAATACGCAATTCCAGAGGCACGGGGGGAGTAGTAAAAATGGGAAGGAACAAAAAGGCGCAGCGAGCCGGTGTGCACGCAACGCGGTTAATTCGACGCCCCTTGACCCAGTTACAACCAGAGTCATCGCACTCTCGCTCTCTCTCTCTCTCTCTCTCTCTCTCTCTCTCTCTCTCTCTCTCTCTCTCTCTCTCGCAATTCGTATCACTTGGCAGATCGAAATCTCGCGAGGCGTTTGTTATCAACGGATCTGGTTTTGAAAAGCACAACAAAGCTTTCTTTTTTTTCTCTTTCAGGTTCACCGTCGCTATCTGCCGTTGTGCTCCGTTTCATTCATCATAGCGACTCTCGTTATCTGCGCGGCTTGCGTTTCACGTATTCATCGTATAAGTTCGCGTATAATACACTTTGTTTCTGCTTTTCAAACAGTCCCACATGTCTTTGTTATACGACTTTTTCTCTCACTCGCGTGACGCCTAGCTTTATCGTTTCACGAGTAATTTTCCACGAGATTTTTTTTTCTTCATTTTTTTTTTTTGTTCTCTCGTACGGGTTTTCTTTCGGTTAGATATTCGTGTTCGATGTGAATTCAAATTTGTATCTCACTTTGCTTAATGTCTATTTGATTGGTTTTTGATAATTTCCTACATCTTTTTTTTTCACTCACAGTTGCTTTCGAGCGCCGAAAAATTTCAGTTTTTCAGTCTCAGGCACAATTGAGTCCTGCAACAACGCACCATAAAGTTCTCCGACGTTCACCTTTCAGTGTTCTAGCATGCGAATGGTCCAACTAGCAAAACAGCGAGTTCAATAAACAGGCTGCACGCTTGCTCGGAGGTACTTTTCCTCGGGCGTTCGTATTTTTTTGTTTCTCGCTTGGTTCAGCGACTTTTTTACTCGCTGCGTCTCTCGCATTCTTTCGAGCAGCGCGTCGCATTTCTTATCGCGGACGCAACGCGCCGGCATTTCGGAAAGACGAGGAAGACGAAGAAGAAGAAAAAAAAATTCTCGAGAGCTTTTATCTTTCGAAAGCCGTGGTCATCGCCGGTGAGATTCTCGAGCGTTAAAACCGAATCTCTCGGTAGCCGCGAGACCAGTCGGTTCTGCGCGCTCGCCAAGTGTGTTACGCGTGCGACGCGCTCGCGGCAAACTTCGCGCGAGTGCTTCGTTTTTTTCTCCTCTATAAGTGCGTGCGTGCGTGCGTGCGTGCGTGCGTGCGTGCGTGTATTTCGTCTTTTCCTTTTCTTTTTTCTTTTTTCCGCTGGAAAAGTGGAGCAGTTGGCGAATTCTCGGGGGACCTTGCCGAAGCTGCGCACGCCTGTGTTTGTATGTGCTCTATGTGGATGCTAATCACAGTTGCGCGATACTTCTTTTTTTTTTTTTCATCGCGGTATGGCGCAGATGTTTCGTCCCGTCCCTGTACGTTTTAAACGAGATTGCTGTTTTTTTTTTCACGCACGGTCACTCGAAGTTCCTAACGGGCACTTAAATTGAGCGAAATCGCTTCGGACTCGTTGACAGGGAAAACAAGTGCGCGCCAGTGTATCGATGAACGTTTTGCGCGTACTTTATTTTTTTCGACACTGGATTGCAAAATAGACCTGCGTCGGATTCAACATTTTCGATTGTGCATGGGAACGGAGATCGGAGTGTTAAACGCGTATTAAAGTTCTCAGACCTACGATTATCACAAAGAAGTCGACTACTTAGTCAAGTTCGATCAGCGATAAACCTTTACACATAGCTTTATCTGATAGCTTAACTCTCGAGTACATTTCCTTAACCAAAGGGGGGAAAAAAGATGGATATCTACTACTTACACACATAAAAGCAAACTATCTGGAAAATAAAGTACATTCGACAATCGGCATTCAACGCGTAGGCAGCCAATAAAGTGACAATGCTTACGCTCGTACCGTAAAATCTCAACGCGTCGCACGCACTTTCAAAATTTCAAGTGGGCTCCCGCTGCTCGATAGCGTGTATTCTTTCGTGTCGTGAATTGATAGGTTTCAGTGCGTACGTGCGTCGAATCGCAGGATCGCGAGAAGAAAAGACGAGCTTTACTCGCGCGCGACCACGAAGTCGAACGAAAGTCTACGCTCCCACGAGCTAGCAAATCGAACGTTGGAGGAGACAGAGAAAAACGAAAAAATTGGGGAACTTCGCGTCCTCCTCGATCGCCAACGAAAGCGGACGGCTACTCGCGCTCGATCGGCAAAACGGAATCGCGCCGGCAATTGCGATACGCGCAATGCATACTTAACGAGCGGACCATTTTGGAAACGGACGGCGCCGCGACGGGACTGCTCAACTCCAAATTCGAAATGTTCGCGCGCAACCCGATTTCCAAACCGTGCGCGCGCTTGCGTGTGCGCGCGCGCGCTTGGAAGCGAAGTAATTGTTTTGCCATCTGTTCGCTGCAGAAATGATTTTGCCCGCGACGAGGACGCGAGACGTCAGTGCACGTCCACGAGCGCTGGATACGCCGTGGGAACGCCGCGGCGATGCTCGTCGAGCAGCTTGTTGACGAGCGCTTGTTTTGCGCCTGACCGCGCGTGAGACCGAACCGACTTGGCGTCTCGCGGTCGGACGGCGAGGAGAAGCGAGAAGAGGCCGGCGCGAGCGTCGTCGCGCCTGTACCGGGGGGAACGAACGAGGGCGCGGGACGCGATTTGGACTGATGACGAGATTGGCTTAATCTCGGTGATCGCTCGATCATCGGATCTAAATGGCAAACCCATGTCATCCGTCAGAGGCAGTTCAAGTTTGTCGAACGACGACGCGGGAGACGATCTACAGCAGGCGAGCTTATTCAACGGTAAGCTTGCGCTTTTGCACATTATTATTCATCGATAAGCGGCCTTTTTTTCCTTTTCTCTCTGTTCCTTTGATAACAACCGATTGCCGTCGATTCATATGCAAATAGTACCGTTGGTTCGGCTTTTCTCGGGATTTCCTTGAGCCGCTTGACCCGAACGCTCGCAAATTACTACTGCGCGCATCCACGCTGTGTACTCTTTTCTCTTGCAGGCTACCAGCTTCGGTACCTCAGTTGATACTCGGCGCGTAAATCAGTTTTGCTGCCAATGTAAACCATCTGATTTATTGTACTACTTGTTCTTTGATTCTCATTGACAATCTCGTTTACCAAATTATTTCTTCAAATAACTTAGAAATTTCATTATTTCTCACGTACCTCATTGCTCATTTATTCTGCGTGTCCTCGAATTATCAGCGCTCATAAATTTCATTGTACTTTACGGGACCATTAGCTTAATTGTGCATAGCAATATTACTTGTTTAACGTAATAATATAATTACTTCATTGTGCGCCACGTTAATTTCACGAACTCCAGAAATATTTTCATTGTGTTTTTCTCGCTTTTAATGATATTGTTTTTTTTTTCAGCTACCTTACAAATAACAATTACGCGCGTACTATGCATTGTACTTCTTTCGCTTCATACTTGGGCAAATTGATCCACACGTCATTCTATGCACTAAATTTATTTGTATTCCTGATGCGTTACATTCCTTCGTATTCTGGCACGACGACTTCTATATTTTTCTTTTCAACTTTCATTTTGTCCTCGACACTTCTGTAACAACAAACACTGAAACAGTTCGCTAAGAATAAAATAAACGAAAGCCTTCCAAGTCATATCATTAATCTACTATTTTGCGCGTATTTTGGGGACTAGCACCTGTCGTTCGTTTTATTTCGAGCATCGGACGATACGCCAACAAACGTAATCGTCAAATTCGACGTTGCCGGCGAATCGTTTATTTTCGACGACTAGTTCACCTTTGAGAGCTCTAATTGCGCAGCGCCAAGCAACTTTTTTTTTCTTCTTCTTTGTGCAAAGCCGCGGAGTAAATACTCTCCTGACAGTTTACCGCATCGAGTGGGATTACGCTACGCGCGCGACTCCTCGCGTTTTTTGCTCGCATTATCCGCTGCCTGCAACATCGCTGCGGGCGTCGAAAGAAATGAAAATTTAATAAGGTGAAGTGGGGCCCCAACCATCGCCCCGCTTCAGTGAGATACCATACCACTAAAAAAAATCGTTGGCCTTAAGCCTTACCAATACAAGCATGTCAATCAACTTATTTTGGTAGGGCTTACCTCCAACTCGTGTATCTCTCCTCCTACGTGCGACTATAAAAATTTTTTTTCTCAGTTTCAACCTTTCATGACTTCCGTTGATCTATGACCTAACGGAACGTGAGTTGCGCTCTTATTTTTATGGCTCGATGTATTTGACGACAACTTGCGCTCTAATTTTATTGTTTTGACGTAGTCTTGATAAATTTGCTTCAGCGCAGTTTCACGTTACTTGTTGAACCGAATGCAGTACAACGCTGCAGCTTCAGAGGATGTTAGACCAGCAGTTTTCGATTGTAACGGTATTTTAGGCTTTGCGAAAAAACATCTTCCATCTTTTCTAATGAAATTCACTAAATTTTATTGTTAACGGCATTATTTTAGATGAAATTGTGCTATATATGTGGCACCTTATTTCTAGAAGTGTTACAGGCTCAATATTTCCAATGTTCAAGAACTCCGATCAAATAAACCATGTTTTTTACTTCAATACTTCATTTCTTTTAATATTCTCCTTAGTTTACTCAAAAAAGTGATTCTTTTTACTCGCTCAATTACTAAAAAATTACAATCAATGGACATTACATTCGATTCATATCATTAGTAAACAAATATACAAATATTAATAATATTTAAAAACATTAAAAATAAAATTTTACTACTAAATTTGTTTGAGTTAATCTACTTTTGTCGTGATAAAAACTCGATGTGACCTATAATTGCTCTAACGAATCCAATAAATCTATTTTCTAGGTTGAAATTTTTCAAACTATCATCGATTCCAATGGGATCGTTTTCATAATACTATAAGCAATTGAATCTTATCCAAAATGACAAGACACTTTCCAAACGCACTATACCTCAACCAAGACTAAAGGTAGATTTACAAATTGTTCCAGCATACAATCATAAGGGATATTTTAATTCATTTCCATTAATCATTTGACTACTATTATTCATTAATCCCTTTCTATTCCTCAACTCCCTGTAAAGAACAACTCAGTTACTCTCGCATATAAAATCACTATTATTTTCATTTACTTACTATTTGTACAAATCCATTATGTCGTATTCAATTTCTGAACAATCTCATTAGTGAAGATACTGAATACACCATATTTTCTTTAATCAAAAATTTTCATTGCTCATTAATTATCATTTCATTTTCTGATTTCCAGCTTTTATGACAAATCATCAATTCGTTTGGTTAACTCAAATAATTTCGACTCCTGCAATCCTTTCTAAAAATCACTCAGAGTTACTTTATCATTGAAAATCAACACCTTCTCCATAATTTTAAATTATTATCTGATCCTTCCAATGAATGTTCTTCAATTTCAAGAATGTTGATATTTATCATTAACAAATATTTCAATTATGCTATGATAACGTAAATTAAGGTTGATAAACGATCTCTCAAATTCTTTGTTAGGGGGAAATATTAAAAATCGTAGATACATTAATGACTAGCATGTTTGTTAAAACACTATACCATTTCAAGAAATAACGAAAAGTAATCCTAACTGGTAACGAATGTTTCGAGAAACTACTTACAGATACATTCTTATTACGATTCTAAACCGTTGGATATACTATCACTTCATTAACTATACATCTGACGAAATATATCTGTTAGCTTTCAAATTGATCAGCTTCATCAATAACAATGATCATGAAAATTTACTGCTAATCCATATTAACTATAAACTTACAATTTATACAGCTACTCGAATAAGGTACCGTCAATTATTTCGATCTCTAAGGATTGGAATTGTTCTATAAATCTTTTATTGAATGAATTAAGCTTATTCTGCTGTTTTCCAATAATCAAATGATATGAAAAAGCTTCGAAAATCTAATCCGATAGGGTTACTCGTGAAGAGGTTAATTGTTTGTCGGTTCTTCGTCAATACTTAATAATTACTTCGTCTTTCCCAAATCACATTAATTTTCTATATTAAACAAAGCAGTGCATCATATGTTTAACATTTGAATTTCAATCTTATGAATCTCTGTTATTGGACAATCGGGACTTAAAATAGAATAATAAGAATTCGATTAGGGACTTCTGATACCACACTTTATCTCTCGGTTATGTCTTACACTATTTACTTTAACATAGAATCTTGCAATTGTTTCGACAAATAACTTAGATATACTATTTTATAGAGGATTGACGTCTTTCATCCTATCATCATTTTATTAGATCTTCGGGCGGGTAATTCTTTCATGTGTTATCGAAGATTTTAAACTTTGTCATTAACGACATTTCTAACCATGTTCTCCTACGATTCATTAGCTACAAATGTCATTCTTTTCTGGAGATTTGTCCTAAGAATCTTTCCTTCTTTTCATTATCTACGATTTCAACAATACCTCAAAGCTTTATTTGAAAGGAATTCAACGTATTCTACCTTAAACTCAATCCACTATAAGGATATCTAAAAGGAAAAAAATATAGAAAAGTAATCCTAAGGGATAACGATTGTTTCGAGGAACTACTCACAATACTTTCTTATTGCGATTCAAGACCATTGGATATAATATTACTTCAGTATCAATACATCTGACTGAATATCTATGGTAGCTTTCGAAATGATCAGCTTCATCAATAACAATGAACATGAAAATTTTCTGCTAATCCATATTAACTATAAATTTACTATTTATACAGCTACTCGAACAAGGTACCGTCAATTATTTCGATCTCTAAGGATTGGAATTGTTCTATAAATCTTTTATTGAATGAATTAAGCTTATTCTGCTGTTTTCCAATAATCAAATGATATGAAAAAGCTTCGAAAATCTAATCCGATAGGGTTACTCGTGAAGAGGTTAATTGTTTGTCGTTTCTTCGTCAATACTTAATAATTGCTTCGTCTTTCCCAAATCACATTAATTTTCTATATTAAGATAAGCAGTGCATCATATTTTTAACATTTGAACTTCAATCTTATGAATCTCTGTTATTGGACAATCGGGACTTAAAATAGAATAATAAGAATTCGATTTGGGACTACTGATTCCACACTTTATCTCTCGGATATGTCTTACACTATTTACTTTAGCATAGAATCTTGCAATTCTTTCGACAAATAACTTAGATATACTATTTTATAGGGGATTGACGGCTTTCATCCTATCATCATTTTATTAGATCTTCGGGCGGGTGATTCTTTCTTGTGTTATCGAAGATTTTAAACTTTGTCAATAACGACATTTCTAACCATGTTCTCCTACGATTCATTAGCTACAAATGTCATTCTTTTCTGGAGATTTGTCCTAAGAATCTTTCCTTCTTTTCATTATCTACGATTTCAACAATACCTCAAAGCTTTATTTGAAAGGAATTCAACGTATTCTACCTTAAACTCAATCCACTATAAGGATATCTAAAAGGAAAAAAATATAGAAAAGTAATCCTAAGGGGTAACGATTGTTTCGAGGAATTACTCACAATACTTTCTTATAGCGATTCAAGACCATTGGATATAATATTACTTTAGTATCAATACATCTGACTGAATATCTATGGTAGCTTTCGAAATGATCAGCTTCATCAATAACAATGAACATGAAAATTTTCTGCTAATCCATATTAACTATAAATTTACTATTTATACAGCTACTCGAACAAGGTACCGTCAATTATTTTGATATCTAGGGATAGGAATCAAACTCTTAATCTTTTATTAAATGATTTAAGCTCATTC